TGTTGCTGCCAGGGCACGGGGGATGGAGACCCCACTGGGCTTTACTGAACACTGTAAACCTGGTGTCGCATAAAATCCTAGAGCTGAACTGCGAGTGCAGCGGACGCTGAAGCCCGCCCGTGTTGCTGCTGTCTGCGAACGTGTCTCCAGCAGAACATCTGCCTTAGTTTTTTTCTTTTGATTTATTCTTAGAAGGTGACTGGTCTTTTAATTTTAAAAAGTTACATATATGTATATGAAATATATGTTCTTAAAAAACAGTTTACACACATGGTAAACATCGTAATCATACTAAAGGATACCAAGTGAAACTGAGTTTCTCTCCGACCCCAGGGCCCAGTCTCGGGCAGCAGCGACCGCTAGGGAACGTCCTGTGTCTCCCCCGGGAACAGAAGTGCACGCACATGCAGAAGTGCCCGTGGCTCTGCGGTTTGCTGTGAGCGCAGGAGAAGGCCTCTTGTCTTGTGGTTGACTCTAGACCTGACCCACAGATTAGTTAGGCCGAAGAGTCCCTGGGTATCTGGACGGCTCCTGTTTTTACACAAACATGAGTGCGCACTTACTCCACCCGCCTCTCCCACGGTGTCATTTCACTGTGTCCACCGTCCTCTGAGTGGGGTGTGCCGGCTGATTTGAATTCCGTGTGGTCCGGGAAACCGTTCTCCGGTATGGGGCGGGGTTGTCTCTAAGGAGAGCAGGGGTAAGAGGCAGCTGCAGCCGGCGGAACGCCCAGTCCGTCTAGAGTTCTGGCCTCCGCACGCCTCGCGGTCGCCTCATGCCCGCTTCTGCAGTTCTGTTCTTGTGCTGGCTTCCTTTCAAGCACTTGTCGATCAGCTCTTTCTGAACATTTGACTTGGTTTTACTGAAGTAACAACTTTCCTCCTCTTTGCTTTAATATTTCTTTGATTTATGTAATGCTAGTTAAGTTGACTGTAATTGTGGTAACGACTGTCATGGTCATGAACAGGTCTGGGGACCAGTGTCTCTGATTCCTAATGAGCCTTGGCTGAGGGTGGGAACCGCAGGGCTGGGGTGCAGCAGGTACCTGCCAGCCTGCTAGGAGTGTCCCCTGATGTTCTGACAGACGCTGGTTAACCCAGGGGAGGTGTGTGAGATTCTGTGGTCCTATGTGTCCCTGCTACTGGGGAGTGTGGCTTCTGGGTGTGACAGTCAGGGAGCCCGGGCAAAGGTCTAAGAGAGTGGATTGTCCGGCATAAACAGGAGTGGACGAGTTATTCCAGAAATGGGAATCCAGCATTCTCCTGCCAGACCTTCTAGGCGGCCCGTGCTGCAGTCAGGTGGGCGGCACCCCTGGGAAGGAGATGACGGGTGGGCGCGATGAGCCTGCCCTGCGGAAGTTACTAGCCAGGGAGCTCAGTTGCGGGACCCCCTCCTTGAATTTCGGCAAGCACGCCCTGAAGTCTCCACTTTGGTCCTGTTCTTTAACCTTATCTGGCTTTCTTTAAGTCCTACTGGCTTTGTTTTTGTTTTTTTCTTTTTTGGAGGATTTTTACCTGTACTTCCTACCTTAATGTCTCTAGTAACACAATTATCCACAAGACTGGGCATTCAGCCTGTCTTAGCAGGACAGCTGTATTATATCCTGTTTGATCGCGCTCTTGTGAGTGCAGTGAATACGCTTCTTTTTTTCCCCACAGCAAATACCCACCAGGAGCCCTTAAGAACACAGCCTGCTGTTTCCCCTCAACCTAGAAAGACTAAATGCGACACCTTGGCCTGGGCCCATTCCTGTCCCAGTCTTCCTCTCTCTATCGGAAGGGGCTTCAGCAGGGAAAAGCTTCAGGGCCGTGTAATTATCTGTGTAAATTAAAATTAAGTTGCAAAACCATATTTTCAAAGACAAATACCAAAAAACTGGGGATGTGCTTAACTTTGTTGGGGCAGAGAGATGGACATTAATTCTCTAGGATGTAGCTTCTTTTAGAAATTTCCCAACTGTTTTACTTTGTATTTTGCACTTCTCCAAACCTGAGTGAGGGTCTGTGGGTTATGGGTTGGCCCTGCCCTTGGGACAGCTTCGGTCTGTGGGTTTGGGTGAACTGCTTTCGTTCTCATCTGAAGAAACCGTGTGAATTCAGACAACAAACTTGTCAACAAGCAGCAGACGCCTTTGCCCGAGGAACCTTCCGGGTTTTGCTGCTGCTGACCCTTGCTCACCTCCTCCCGGTGCTGGGCTGAGCGCTTCCCCACCCCCAGCCCAGATGCGGAAAGCAGGGCTGGCTCAAAGCCTGGGGCTAGTTAAGTCACCACGGGGTGGAGCATCTGACTCCACATTTAGCCATTTTGCCCTTTTCTTTAAAAAAAAAGATAAAAACAAAACTTTATATTATTAGATTAATTTTTACAGCAAAGTCACTCTTACCTGTGTATAGTTCTGTGAGTTTAGACAAACACCTGGAGTCAGATAACCTTAATGACAGTCAAGATTCAGAACAGTTTCGGACCGTCAGGCACCCTGTCCTTGTACCCCCCTGTGGTCAATCCCACCCCAGGCCGCCCCATTCCTGCAGTTCAGCCATTCCCGGGAAATCGTTTAAATGGAATCATACAGATCGTAGCATCTTGAGTCTAATTTCTTTCTCCTGACAGTCATGCATTTGAGACTCATCCACGATCTTGTGATCTTGTGCGTATCAATAGTTCATTCCCTTTTTATTGCTGAGGAATGTTTCATTGTAGGCACGTATTACGATTTTATTTTTTTATTTTTATTTTATTTTATTTTTTTGACTTTTTCCGTGTCCGGCAACGGATCGCAACCCTCAGTGTTGCCCCCGTACCGGACCGGGGACCAGCAACGTGATCGCAACCCTCGGTGTTGCTCCCGTGCCTCGCTCAGCCAGTGAGCGGGAACCGGTCTGTATGTGGGATCCGAACCCTCGGGCGGGAGCGCCGCCGTGCTTCCCAAGCGGCGCACTATCCAGTGCGCCACCGGGCCGGCCCAACGTATTACAATTTTAAACTCTGTTTATCAGTGAAGTCGTTTGGGATGTATGGAGCCAACATTATAAACATTTGCATGCATGTTTCTGTGTGAACTTGGTGTTTATGTCTCTTGGGTAAACACTTCAGTGTTGGGATTGCTGGGTCAATGTATGTTTAACCGCTAGGAAATTGCAAATTGTCTTTCCAAGGTGGCCGTACAGTTTTGCATTCCCACCACAAGTGTTAGAGCATTCCAGTTGCCCCGTGTTCTTGCCAGCACACTCCATGTGGTTGGCGTTTTGTATTTTAACCATTCTCTTTTTTTGGATAAACTTTATGTCTGCATTGAATTTCCTTTGTTGAAAGCGATCGATCCTGATTGTGTGGGTTTTTTCCAGATCCATTATTATATTCCGTTAATTCATTTGTTTAACCTTTCCCCAATACTGCGTGGTGGTAAGTTTATTGTAGGCCTTAGAATCAGACAGGGCGACTCCTCCAACTCCATTTTCAAAATTGTTTTGTTCACTTTTTATATATAAATTTTAGAATCAGCTTGTCATTATCTACAAAGTATTTTTCCTGGAACATTGGTGAGAGTTGCATACAGGAATCTACAGGACAATTTGGGAAGAACTGACATCTGGTAGTGAGTCGTCCAATCCGTCAACGTGGTATAGGCCTCCATTTACTTAGGTCTTCTGTGATTTCTTTTGCAGACCTGAGGATACTTTGTTAGATTTGTACCTAAGTATTTCTCCTTTTATTTTTTGGTGTGTTGTAAATGATACCATTTTTAATTTTTATATCTCCATTTCTTCATCAGTAGTTTGTGGAAATACCATTGATTTTTGCATGTCCTTTCCTTTTTGCTGCTGTCCCTCTAAGTAAGAACAGTCCCTGCCTGTCCTGGGACTGACCCTGTGCTGGGACTGACCCCGTCCTGCTGCTGTTCAGCAAGGAATGACTGAGACTTACTTGCAGCATTTCTGGTCACATTGCCCTCCAAGGGCAACAACCAAATTCAGTATAAATCACACTAATTTGGAGGAAAAGTCAGGCTGAATTATTAGTGTCTGTGAGACAATTTAAAAAATAAAACAAAGCTTACGTTTCCTACTCCCATAGGCAGTGTGAAAAGGCCAAGCGTACTGAGCTGTTCTTGCAGAGACACAGCTCCGGCGTGCTCCTCAGCCGGCAGAGGGTACTGCTGAGAAGTGTTCTTGGCTCTCTGTGGACCACGTCGGTGTCTGCTGGTCTTCCCTTGTCACCTTGCGTCATTCGTCCAATACCTGGCGAGCACTTGCTGCCTCCAGGAGCTTCCCCTGTCGGGAGGCCCGGTGGACACGTGGCGCGTTGCTCTCCTGGCACCTGCATTTTCAGATGCTCACGTCCACATGATCATAAATTGTGGATCATCCTGGAATTTGAGTTAATGAGGTTTTACTCTACAGTCCTTTTCTTGACTGTAGCCTATAAAGTTATTTTTATAATTTTTTGTCTGTTAAGTACAGCTGGTGCCTCAGATTTTGTTCTTTTTATGGCAGCTTATGGAATTTCACTAATTGCATGTGATTTTATTTCTTTTTTCTCTAAAGTGTAATTTCTTTTAAAATAATGGTATTTATAATATCAAAGGAAAACAACAAAGCTTTGAATATTTGTTTTGAAAATTAACTGTTTTGCTGATTAAAGTCATAAGGGCACAATGTAGCACCCCTGGGCTTCGTGGGATTATTATTTTTATTTTTTTATTTTTGTTGTTGGCTGGTACAGGGATCCAGTCTGGATCTTGGTGTTGCTGGCACCATACTCTAACCGAGGGAGGATGGGTGACCTGCAGCCCCCTGCCGATGCCTCTTAGGCAGGTGACAGCCAGGCGCAGGGCACAGTTGCCATTGCAGTAGCCAGAGGGATGGCGGGGTTCCGTGGTGGGTGGCAGAGTCGCACACAGCGCAGGTCTCACCCTCACTGTGGGAGAAGTGGCGGGGCTGGCCGTGCATGGCGGCCTCCCGGCCTGAGCTAAGCACGCTGTTGTCCCCTCGCTTTCAGTGAAGTGCTATGTCCGCAAGGGTGTCCCGCTGGAGCACCGGGCCCGCGTCTGGATGGCGGTGAGCGGAGCCCAGGCCCGGATGGACCGGAATCCCGGCTACTACCACCAGCTGCTGCAGGGAGACAGGAGTCCCAGCCTGGAGGATGCCATCAGGACAGGTGAGGCGTCCATCCGTTGGGAGGCGACCCTGCTCCCACCCAGGTTAGAGCCTTGGGGACATGAAAACACTGACTTTAACTTGAGGTTATATTTTTCTCAAAGGAAAAGTCACAACTAAAGCGTTCACAAGGGGGGCACCGTGTTTTTAATTCATTCAGCGGATGTTTGTGTGCGCAGCCAGCGGGTGAGACTCTCCCAGGACAGCGGGCCAGGCACAGGCGTGACAGGAGGGGCCGCACCCGACGTGTGCTGCGTGTGCCTCACGGGCCACACGCCAGAGCCTTCGTTTTTGTCAGGCTGTCATCATCGCCTTGGGTGCTGGCATTTTTACCTCTAATTTCTTTGTCCAAGGGTTTCCTCGGTAATCACACAGGCAAAGGGTCACTTGTCCCGGACCATCAAAGTACTAAAAAAAAGTTCAACTTAAATTGAATAGCCAGATTTTTAGGAAATACATCTGCCTTCCTGATTTTAACAGTTCTTGAGAAATACACACTTAAACCCAAAATATGTAATTTTTGAGAAACGCAGTTACTTTACCGTGCCGAGGGGAAGAGAGTGGCAGGAGGGGGCCCCCAGCAGGGGCTGGCGGCCAGTGCGGGGGTGTGGGAGCCGAGGCCACATCCTGGTCACCTGGCGACCGTGGCCAGAGGTCTCAGAACAGATGCACGGCCAGCGGTCATCACTCAGCCACACGTACTGAATAAAAGAGACCATCGCTGCTGGCTCGAGAAATGCATTTAAAGTGTTTTTGGATGTCTTTTTTGTTTTTTAATTGTGGTAAAATATGCATCACATAAAAGTTATGGTTCTGTCTTCCCCAACTGGAACTCTGTCCCTTCTCAACCCTGACTCCCCGTTCCCTCCCCAGCGCCTGGCGGCCACCGTGCAGCTTTCTGTGTCTGTGATTTTGACCTCACGGACGTGGAATCGTACCGTGTTTGTCCTCTTGTGAGCGGCTTGTCTCGCTTAGCGTCGTGTCGTCGAGGTCTGTCTTTGCTGCGGCATGTGTCGGAACTTCCCTCCTCTTCGGGGCTCAGTGATCGTCCACGTGTGTGGACGCGCTTTCTCGTGCATTCGTCTGCGGGCGGCCGCTGGTCCGCTTCCACCGTGTGGCTGTGGACAATGGCGCTGCTGGCACACGGGTGTGCGGGATCCTGCCAGAGTCCCTGCTCTCTCTTCTGGGCACACGCCAGAAGTGGGATTGCGGGTCACATGTTAGTTCTATGCTTAATTTTTTGAGGCGTCTGGATAAATCATTTTATGTAGGGACCTCATGGTGGGTGTTTCATGCCCACAGAGCTGCCTTCGTGCCACATAAACAGACGGAAAGACCCGTCCACATCTGCCTGTGCACTGGGGAAAGGCCCTTCCTTTCCCACAGAAAATGCCAAAACAAGTGGAAAAACTTCTCATAATAAAAAACACTACACGGGCGTGAGCGCGGCCGGTCACCGTCACTGCTACACGGGCGTGAACGCGGCTGGTCACCGTCGTCTGAAACAGCAAAGCTGCTCTCGTGTCCGCTCGACCGATCCCGTTCTTTGGAATGTTTAGAATTCCAGCGGAAAGTCTCTTTTGTAAAGACTCAGCAGGAATGAAGAGCTCCAAAGCACAAGCTCAGTGTTCTGCCCAACTCTAGTTTTTGGCAACAGGGGTGTGGCCTGTGGCCAGAGCTGCGGCGTTTGTCAGCCCTTGCTGGTGGCTGCTGGCCGGGGGTGGGACGCGCTCAGGACAGCAGGGAGCCCGCGTGTTGCAGAGGGAGCCAGGGGTTTCTGCGTGTGCTGTCTTGGTACATACATGGGAAGTGCCCCAGTCCACTGGAGTCGTGCACAGTACATGGCAGACACACCAACCACTAACTTGAGCAGGGTCCGTGGAATCGGGGGAAATGCAGTTCCAGTTGACGGGCGTCCTGTTTGCCCTGCCTGTGTGGACGCGTGAAGGTGTGAGGCTTGGTTAGTCCTGGTGAACCCACCCGCGGCCGGGTCTCTGGGTCTCCCTGGCACGGAATGGCCTGGCAGGGCCATGTCGCCTGAGAGATGCTCAGCCTGGGAGGGGATGGCTGAGGCCGTGGGACGTCTGATAAACAGGAAGGTGGCCCAGGGAAGCGTCCCGCACAGAAAAGCCGGCGGCGTGGAGTTGGCCTTGTCCCTGCTGTTCGGTTCTGTCTGTTTCTGAGAGGGCGTCTGTGTGCCCTACCGCGAGCTTGTGACCTTCAGAACTAGGACTTCCCAGTGTTTTATGTACAATTTCACCGTCATCCGTGGTCCTGAGTTACGACACCTCCTTAACCGGGGAAGTGTGAGGATGGAGGTGCTGGTGGCCTGTGAGGAACGGGCCACGCGGACAGACCTCCAGTGGCCGGGCCTTGCTCTGCAAAGGCCGTGCTGCCGTCCTGACTTGAGAGAAAGGACAGTTGGGACCCAGCTTGTCCCTGGGATGCAGGGGACACCCCACTCCTCTGGCCCGGTGGGCCCCTGTCCTGGCCGTGTGGAGCCCGGGGGTGCCCGTGGCTCACAGAAGGTGGCCAGGCCGCGCCTGGGGTTCTTCAGGCGTCAGCCAGGGCAGAGACCGTCCCCTATGTCCCAGACAGGCCCAACATGCCACGGGCCGGGAGGCTCGCGGAGTGGAGGCTTTGGGTGATCGCTTCTCGTGACTTTCCACGCAGACCTGAACCGGACCTTCCCGGACAACGTGCGATTCCGGACGACGGCGCAGCCCTGCCTGCAGCGACCGCTGTACAATGTGCTGCTGGCCTTTGGCCGCCACAATCAAGCTGTGGGCTACTGCCAGGTGAGGCTGGGGACTGCCAATGACAATGGCGTGGTGGCCAGGGAGGTGTGGCCCAGGGACATCCCCAGGGCCGGGCGTCTCCCGTGCACCCTGAGCGGGTCTCCCTGGTGGGAGCGCCTCCCAGGGCTCGGGCTTGAGCTGCTCCGGCAGAGGCGGGCAAACCTCCCTGGAGGCTGGTTGTGGTGTCGGTGGTGGGCGGGTGCCCATGCAAGGCCGGGAGGGAGGTGGGACGTGAGCCGAGAGAACAGGACGCCGGACAGCAGCATCCAGGGCCGGGGTGTGCGCGGTGTGGGTGCCGCCAGCCCACACTGCAGCTGCTCGTCTCGGGGCTCACTCCAGGCTGGGGGTGCGGCCTGGGGGAACCCCGCGGGGGGTGGAGGGAGCACCGCTGCCGCCCCGTCCCCATGGCCACTGCCCTGTCCCCACAGCCACCACCGTGTCCCCACGGCCACCACCCCATTCCCACGGCCACTGCCCCGTGGCTGGAGAGCAGCTTTCCCCATGCAGGCTGCCACCTGCTTGGTGCTCCTAGGGGCTGAGGCTAGTGTGAAGGTTTGTGAAGAGGACAGCAGACGACATCCTGGTGGGGGTAGTTTTGCTCTAAGTCACAGGTGGCTGCTCCAGAACCTGGAGAGGCCGGGAGCCCAGGTGCTCATTTGGCGCAGGGTGGGTGGCTTTGGCAGCTCGAGCCCTTGCGACAGCCCTTGGGTGTGTGTCTGGCCCAGCAGGTGGGCTCCTGAGCCGAGAGGGCAGGAACCTGCGAGAGAAGAGGCCGCAGCAAGAAGCGCGTGGACACGGCCCCGCGCGGCCCGGGCAGCCACCCGCCTGCGGGTTCTCCAGGCTCTGCGGCGCCTGCACGCACGGGCAGGAGGACGGGCCCCTCTTCTCCCGCAGGATTCCCGTCACTCTCAGCGTTTACTCACCGTCGTCCAGGAGTGAGGACTGGCCTTTAGGAGCTGAGGCAGAGTGGCCGAGACACTTAGGTCACTCTACTTTCTGTTCTCTTGGGTTTTAAAAGCAGCTTTATTTAAAACACACACACACAGTTGGAAGTATGCACGTGATGTCAGAGCTCTGCTGGCTTCTGGAATGTACAAACACGCACATACGTGTGCGAGCACGTGTATAGATAGCGTGTTGCGTCGGTTTGCTGCAGCTGCCAAAAAAAGCACCACCCTGGGGCTTAACCTGTTCTCTCGCAGGTCCGGAGGCCAGAGGTCTGAGACCAAGTTGTGGGCCAGGTGGGCGCCTTCTGAGGCTGTGCGGGAGGGTCTGTGCCAGCCTCTCCCGGCTGCTGGAGGTTGCTGGCCATCTTTGGACATTCCTTGGCTTGTGGCATCGTAACTCGAGTCCTGCCCACTTTCACGTGTGTCTGTGTCCAAACTCCCCTTTTATGAGGACACCATGGTCATCGCATTAGGCCCACCCTACTCCAGTACGACCTCACCTTAACTGATTATGTCGGCAACAACCCTTTTCCCAAATGAGGTCACATTCTGGCATGCTGGGGGTTAGGACCTCATCATGTGAATTTGGGGGAACACAGTTCCATCTGTAACATGCATGCAGTCACGGGGCACACGTATAATCTCATGTCACACACCAGCACCTCCATGCATCAGCATGATCCATGCACGGGTCACATTCTCCCAGGTCTGGTCAATGTCATTAGCTTGGTGGGGTCTGTTCTCAATCACAGAAATCTTACCAGCCTCTTGCTGTCACCAGGCACGATCAATGGTCTTTGTACAGATACTTTTGCCTTTTGAGTCGGTTCTCAGGGTCTGTTTTTTAAGTGGAGGTGCAGGTCAGACGATATGAAAGTCTGTGTGTGTTCACGTGTGTGCTTTAGCTCCTGATAACTGTCACCACGTCCGTGTGCGATTGCAGTCGTCAGAGGCGCTTCTGCAGCCGGTCCTTCTCCATTTCATGTCATGTAAATTCGTCACGTTGGTTGATGAAAGCTGGGCTTTTTCTTATTACTAGAGGAATCCGTACTGTTGATCCTTGTACAGTGTGGGTTGGAACTGCATGGTCCGCTCATTCACGGACGTTTGTCAACCAGCCGCAGATGGAAAACACAGTGTTTGTGGATGTAGAATCCGTGTACACAGGGGACGACTTCTCACGTCCACAGGCTCTGCAGGGTTGACTGCAGGGCTTGAGCGTACGTTGATTTTGGTGCACGCAGGGGGTCCTGGAACCAGTAGCCCGTGGATACCAAGGGACAACTGTTTATTTTAGAAAATTTAGATGAACAAAAAAGAAAACCATGAGAAGTCGTGTAAAGCCCAGCCGCCCAGAAATGACACCTCTCTCTGTTGTGAAGCTGCCAGCATCTAGCACTTCTCTCAGTTAAGAAAGACACATACCTGGTGTTTTCTGGCCACATCCGTGCTTTGGCAAGTGTATCCATGGGTTTCCCCAGAGATTTTCCGTCACCAAATTCTCTCAGCACCCCATGCGACAGACCACGTATAGTTTTTATAAAATACAGTCGTTGGTATGGTTTCCGCTTGAATGTGGAGCTTCATGCTTGTAGCACATATTAGTTTTTTTAGAAACCAATGGTAGGTTATACTGTTTTATCACAAATTTGCCCATTAGTTGAAGAGAGAGTCTTTGATGTTAGTATTCTAAGGCTGCATTCAGAAGGGTCTCTTTTAACTATTTCCTTTTTCTTCCTTTCCACTTAAGCTTGACTAATTGCATTACTAGACAGCAGGTGCTTAGCATCTTGAGGCCCCACTAAAAGATGATTCTAGAATGGTGCAAGTTCTAGAGAAGAGCAAGAGACACGGAAACTTAGTGCTCAGCAGCTAAGCTCAAAGTGAAAGTCTGTTTCTCGCTTTTCTGATTTCAGGGAATGAATTTTATAGCAGGATATCTGATTCTTGTAACAAAGAATGAAGAAGAATCTTTTTGGCTATTAGATGCTCTTGTTGGAAGAATACTACCTGGTATGTCGAAAATTCCTACCGTATGCCTTCACTGTCCTGTTTCTGGTATTACTGAAATAATTCAGGTGACAAGTCCAGATTTAATTAAAAAATAATTGGATTGCTTGGGAGTTGGGGTTAAGAATATATTCACAATGAGTTAAAGAGAGAAAAAATACTTAAGTGGGTGGCTCCTGCTTGAGCAGCTGCTCATCTCCGGAGTTTTCTTTGCTTGTCCTAGAGCCTGAGTCTGGCCCGTCGCTCCTCAGCGGCGCCGCAGCCTCCAGACCCGCAGGGCCGCGCTGCAGTTCATGCGATCACAAACTCTGGGAGAGGCTGGCTTGGTTCCGTGTGTGCATTTGTTACTGAGTTTGTGAATGCTAGTAAAAGCACCGTAATTGTCAGCTATGATTACTTTTTATGGTGAAAATCATTCTTTTCAAGTCTTTCTACCATTCTGTTTGGGGGTTTTTTGGTGGCTGGCAGGTATGGGGATCCGAACCCTTGACCTTCATGTCACAACACTGTCCTGTAACCAACTGAGCTAACCGGCCAGCCTTGGGTAGCACAGTGCAGACTGTGACCTGCTGTGTAGGGTCATTGTGGGCAGGGAGCGGCCAGAGCCTGCTGGTGGGAGAGGATGTGGGGCCGAGGCAACTCTCTGCCCCTTGGGGTTGGCGTGGTCGCCGGCTGTGCATGGTGGAGCCTGGGTTCAGGTCCATGGGGATGCCGTGAGGAAGGGCGGCCGGGTGAGAGGTCCTGAGCATGAGAAAGCCACTCACCGAGTCTGCCAGCAGCAGTGGCAGAGCCTGGGGGTGGCGGTGCGGTGGAGGACTGAACTGCAGCGGAGGGGTGAGATTCAGCACAAGACGGGGTGAAGGGACTTCCCACGTGAGATGTCGGCAGAGCTCAGGTACATCCAAAGCCTGAATTCTGACAAACATTAACAGCCACCACGAGTTCAGGCTGCCACACGCCACGCTCTGTTCTGGGGGTTGGAGAACATCAGAGAACAACAGAAAGCCCCTGTCCCTGTGGAGTCCTGTAGCAAGAGGACACATGGTGAGGGCAGCAGCAGCAGCAGACCCCACAGCAAACAGGCAGTGCGTGGCGGGCGTGGGAGGTGGCGGTGCCAGCTCACAAAAATGAAGAGTGGGGCGCCAGGCCACTTCCTGCGTCGGTGATGAGATTCGGTTGAGCCAAACTGCAGTGCGCACAAGTCATGATCCAAAAACAAGAAAACTTACCAAAAGCGAAGTGTGAGGACTGATCCCAAAACAAGAAAACTTACCAAAAGCGAAGTGTGAGGACTGATCCCAAAACAAGAAAACTTACCAAAAGCGAAGTGTGAGGACTGATCCCAAAACAAGAAAACTTACCAAAAGCGAAGTGTGAGGACTGATCCCAAAACAAGAAAACTTACCAAAAGCGAAGTGTGAGGACTGATCCCAAAACAAGAAAACTTACCAAAAGCGAAGTGTGAGGACTGATCCCAAAACAAGAAAACTTACCAAAAGCGAAGTGTGAGGACTGATCCCAAAACAAGAAAACTTACCAAAAGCGAAGTGTGAGGACTGATCCTAAAACAAGAAAACTTACCAAAAG